GGGGGGGGGCGCTGCCTGGGGACCTCCCTGCGGCCCTGAAAAGCCGAGAAACCGCACTTTATTCCGGGGGCTAGTTTTTGCTCTTTCCGCAGTCCGCTCTCTATTCCCCGCCCCTTCTTTTCCGTACCCCTCAAACGTCTTATAAATAGCTTTGCCTTTTCACTCGGCTTGCTGAATAGCGTCCATGAAATTAGAAGTTGGATGTGCGAGCCGCCTATTTATCTATTTTTCTAATTCATATTTAAATAAAGACGTAACCACAAGACATTTTCAGATGTTTGTCGAGCTAAGATGGTCCCGTGAACACCCCTGGGGAAAGCCTTTTAAAGGCCAGGTTTCTAGGCAAAAAGGTCAGACGTTGGTTTAGAAAGAAAGAAAAGCCACGTGGCTTGGTCAGCGTTTCCTTCGGCGCCTTCTGGGGAATAGAAACTCAGCTCCACACTTGCGAAGCTCACCCACCTCCTTCCCAGGCGCATCCGGGCTCCTGATTGGTTGGGGCCAGTCTGGGGGGCACCCCGCGGGGAAAATAGCAGCCTGTGCCACGCTTGGGCGTACACTGCCCTCTACAGGCCAAGACAAGAGTTGTTTCGCCAGGAAAAAGCGTGTTCATCTGTGGGGTTTAAATTTGCATTCCCTCCTGGCCTCTTCCTGCTGTCTAGGCCCTAGCGGGGAAAAATAATGAGGGTCCTTCAGGCTGTTTTTATCTGTTTTTGAAGAAATAATACATTCACATGATTCAAAATCCAAAGGGACAAAGGGTCTGCTGTGAAAGTTGTTTCCCACCTTTCCGCCCTGGGGGCAACCACTGCAACTACTTTCTTACGGATCCTTCCCAGACTCTTTAAATATTTCGAAAGCCATTAGAGAAATCTCATATCTACCAAAATAAAGCTACCCAGCCTCGGTAACCAGTTTAGCACTGATTTTTTTTTTTTACATCTTCTCTCATACACGATCGATAAAGGGAACAAAACAAGACAAATTTAATTGTTACCAAGAGATGTGTATTTCGGAGACAAAAATCTTTGTAAAACAGGGAATCTGTAAAGAGGAGAAATGTTACCATCGTGGAGGAAAGCATGTGGGAAATCACGGGTTTAGTCGAATACACTTTAGCGTTGATGTCGTAAGAGCAAAGGACCTACCGGGGGCCAGGGGCAGTCAGATGGGACTCCCCCCTCTTGGAGATGTTATTTGTGATTTTTTTGTTCGCATTTTCTGATACAAGGCTGAACCTGGGCACGCTTATTGGAGATGAGTCCATGGCTCTCACGAAACATCCTGCAAAATAGGGGTTCGTGTCTCAGGCTTGGGCAGCTGACAGACCTGGGTTTGAATCCTAAGTCTTATTTTTATGTGGCCTTGGGCAAGTGGCTTCTCCCAGTTGAGCCTCAGTTTTTTATCTATAAAATGGGACAATCCTACGTCTCTGTTTGTGACTTTGCCGTTGTTTGAGTGCTTAACGCTCGGGAGGCAGCGTTGCTGTTACTCAAGAGCCAAACGGTAGAATAAAGCCAAGTTGTGCGCTGCCTGGAGTCCACTGTTACCAGGGGACCGGCTGTGAAGTCGGCTCAAGGGGTAAAAACCCATCATCCGCCGTGTCTCACACCAGCCTGATCCAGCACTTTCAGAAGCGACGGATGTTTTCAAGGTACTTAGAGCTAAGAGGCTCTTTCCCTACCATAGGTGGAGAGCTGGCATCAACCCTACGGTTTCTCCCGCCAGATAGGCTCCCTGGCAGGTTCTTTCTGCCAGAGCATTTATTGAGCACCTATTGTGTGCAAATAGGTGGCAGCTCCGGAATCCAGTACAATAGGCATTAGGGGCTGTAGCCTGAACGGAGACTGGCAGGGGGTAGGAGTCCAGGGGCCCGGTCTCAAGCCACATGGGCAAAGCGAGCAGACAGCTTTGATCGGGAGAGGCTGTTCGTCCGGTGGGGCAGGGGAAGCTGATGGAGGTCACAGTCTCCTGCAATTAGAGGCTCCCTAAGCCACCCCTGGGGACAGCTTTACATGAGGGATGGTGGGAGGTGCTGTGGGAGATGCTGTGGTGAAAAAAGTGCATCCCCTGCCCCCTGGAGAGAAATCTTCAGCTGCGTACGCCGAGTTTCCGCCCAAGCTGGATGAAGCTGTCAGGGTGGAGGGCTACTGCCAGTCTGCATGAGTTCCAGAAACTTCACCCGGGGCCCCTTCCTGGACCACCTCTCTCCTCTGCTGTGAATTGCTGAGTCAGGGGGCCCTTAATAAAAACGCTTCACTGTCTCCCACTCCCAGCACGATGACATCCTGACCCCTAAACTTGGCTGTCTAAGCCCCTCACGGTCTGCCTCGCACAGGTGTCTCCAGGTTCTTGTCTCAGGAACCACGACCTCTCCCTCTTCCTCCCTCTGCCTGGGGCTTTGCTTTCTCCCCACGTCTCTGCTCATCCGCCTCACAGTCCCCAACTCTTTCTTAAGAATCAGAAGCAAGCATCACCTCCTCCAGGGAGGCCTCCATGATGCCCCCAATCTGAGCTAACACCCTCCACTGCACTTACCTTGATCATAACTCCTACCACCATCCCTGGCTTACTCGTGTGCGACTCCTCATGTCTTCTGAGCACAGCACAGTGCCTGGCACGTAGGTGCTCAAAAATATTAGGGAGAGGGACACTAGAAAAGGAGGGATGTTAGAGAGAAAGGGAAGAGAGAGGGGACTAGGAGAGAGGCAGGAAAGAGGCATGTTAGTGTCTACCCATGATTGGTGCAAGTTGGCATCCTCTCTATCAGGGATCAGTTTACCCAGGACGCCTCACACGCGCTTCTGTGGCTCATGGAAGTGCTTTCCGGACTATCATCTGTCCATTGCAGTCCAAATACTTAGCATCGAGGTGCTTTCTTGAGTTCAAGGCCTTGAATGCTATGACTAGTGAGTGACAGCAGGCTTGAGCAGCCCTCCCCCTGCCCCGCCCTCTGAGTATAACAGACTAGCGGGCTGATTGTAAGGGATTTTCCGCATGATAAATGGGAGGATCATTTCACTGAACACGAAAATGCAAACAATAATTAGCGAGCGGTCAGCATGTTCCGCATGGCCACTCCCCCAGCAGGTAGCCCGGAGCCCAGCGCTTCGTTTCACCCACAAAACGGTGGTTGATGGGGGTACCGAGGGCAGTTCCACTTACGATGCAGCATTTGACTCCATGCAGGGAAGACGATCTCACGAATGAGTCTTCAACAGCCCAGTCCAGCCCCCCAGCCTGTGTGCTAGGCTTGCAGGAAGGATCAGCATGTCCTGATCGCATTGGGAGCCCGTCCCCGCCTCGACCTCGGTTCCTAGCCTGGGACCTGGCACCTAATATGTCTCTAAAAAGTGTGTGTTGCCTGAAAAAATAAATCGAAAGCTCATTGAACGCCCCTAACTTTGCCTCACTAAACCCCCTTCTCTCTGCCCCTAAGCCTGAACCTGAGCAACAGCGACATCCTGACCATCTACGACGGTGACGAGGTCATGCCCCACATCTTGGGACAGTACCTCGGAAGCAGTGGCCCCCAGAAGCTGTACTCGTCCACGCCAGACCTAACCATCCAGTTCCACTCGGACCCTGCCGGCCTCATCTTTGGGAAGGGCCAGGGATTTATCATGAACTACGTAGGTAGGTGTCTCATCCAGTCAAATTTTTAATTTGTATTTACATACAGGTTAAGATGATTTCCTGTCGATATGTATCTTTTTGGGGGTGGTTTGTGCTTCACGGGTCTTTGAATGTGTTATAGCACAGGAAATAGCTGTAGTTTTTAAGACCTTAGTCAGAAGGAGCAGGGTTTGAGCCTTAGTACTGTTATCCACAGCTTTGTGACCTGGGGCAAGTCACTTAACCTCTCTGAGCCTCCTTTTGGTTGTCTGTAAAGTCGGAATAGTGATACCTACTTCACAAGGTTGACACCAGGACTTTGTAGATAAAGCCTCATAACTTGAGGATTCATCACGTTTCATTTGTTGTCAGCTGGGACTTTATTTCGCCAACACTGTCCTATGTTGGCAGCTTCTCAAAGCAATATTGTCATCATCCCTCCTGAACTGAAGCTCGGCTCTCCCCTAAGGACTCTCCTTCCCCTGCAGCCCCATCCAATGGAGACAGCCCGTTCTCTCCCACCTCCCACACTTTAGGACCAATAGGTGCAGGTGGTGTCTTTCTTGACCTTCAGTGTGGCCTCCAAACCATTTATCTCCCCCCATATTTTTTATTTTTTTTAAATTGATTTTTGGAGCAAAAGGAAGGGAGAGCGAGAGAGAGAGAAACATTGATGTGAGAGCGTAACATCAATCGGCTGCCTCCTGCACACCACGTACCGGAGATCGAGCCCCAAACCCGGACGTGTGCCCTGACCGGGAATCAAACCGGCAACCTCTGGGGCACAGGATGACACTCAACCAACTGAGCCACCCGGGCCAGGAACTTTTTTATTTATTTCCAGCTGGTGGCCATTTCTCATCCCTGCCTTCTCTACAGACACCTGTCAGAGTGGCAAACACAAGTGTTATCTTCTTTCCTATGTTTCTCAGGGGACTTTTCACCCTGGATTGTGTGCTAAATATGTTGCGTGTTATTGCTGCTCCTTTGCATGGGCTTTCCACTCCTGCCAGGCGAGGTGCCCTCCCGAGTCAGCCGCCTTTGGAGGGAGAGTTTCTGGTGACTCGGCTTCAATCTATCCTTAGACTTTTCCCCTTTCCCGGCCAGGAGATGAGGTCATAGTTTTGCTCTTCTGTCTCCTCTGCTGCCCAAGTCAGTCTTCCTAAACTGCATCCAGCTTGACAGCAGAACTGCGACTCCATCCGAGGCTACCCAAGGTTGACCAGAACGTCTGGCCCGTGTTCACTTGGCAACATCTTGAAGAGACGGGGCTCTTGTTCAATGAAGCTGAAACTTAGATCTGTGTGACAATTTGAAGTTGGCAAGCACTCTTCCATATATTATTTTATTTCATCTTCCAAGGCATTGTCTTCATTTTCCACACAGTTTGCTTCACAAACATCTCGTGACACCTCCTATGTGCCAGACCCCACACTAGGCACCAGGATCTGGGAACGAACCAAATACTCTCCCCGCCCTTGAGCTCCTAGTGGAAAGACGAGAGGGGGTCTGTTAACGGGCAGTGTCAGAATCATGTGTGGATGTGGTGGGAGAAGCCAGCGCGGAGCTCCAGGGACCGCTTCCCAGGGGTACACAGCCTGGCTAACGTGGGGAACACACACAAAAGAGAGCACAGTTCTATTTGTTCTTATTTCTGTTAAAGAAACACCCAGTTAATTTTACAGGGGAGGCAAGCGGGCCTCTGTGTTTAGTTATGATGCCAGTCAATTGCTGGTGGCCACCAATGTTGAAAACCGCATTGAAAAGAATTCAGAGGAGGTGGCTCTGGAAGCCAGTGGGAAAGAATGGCGTGATTGATTAGTGATGTCTGCCACGGCATGGGAGAGGGGTTTGCTGCCGTAGGTCTAGATTTAACCAGACAGGGATGAGATTCCCATTCATTAGAGGAACCAGATGGAAGGGTCAGGGGCTTCTGTGGTCATCCAGAGAATTCTGAAGCTCCCAGACTGATCTCGAGGCCTAACCCCCAGCTCTGGAAGTTGGTCGAGGCTCTTCTGCTACGGCAGCTGTCAGAACCTTCCACAGGCACACTCTGGGCTCACGTGGCTCTGACCCCCCCATAATCCTCCTTTGCACAGATAGAAGCAAATACCCATTCCTCTCACTGCTTCTTGTGCTTTGCTGGTGTCTTTGGCCAAGTGCATGGGAGGGAAGGGAATAAAAAAGCAGAGAGGAGTAAGCACTGTTTTTCAAAGAGATATGGGTCACTTGTGCATTTATTCCTCTAACCCTAGGATAATAAATAAGCTCTGTATTGTAGGTCAACTCCAGCCAAATGACAGTGGCTCCCTGGAGTGCTGTGTTGAGAAGGACTGGAGGGTTTCCGCTTTACTCAACGAAAGAGATTGCTGTGATTGATTAGTGATGCCTGCCATGAGCATAAGACTGGTAACTGGCAGCATGTATTCAGTGCATTTGGGTATTTCTTTTGCCTGAAATTTGGACCATAGCACTGACCTTGACCATAAAAACTAGAATCATGACCCCTGTTTTCCTAATGCCTGGCATATGGTAGGTGCTCACAGAATCTTAGTCAAACAATCGGTGACTCCATATAACTCGCCTTAGTGTTACTGCCATACCCTGCATGTTAATTAACATTCACATTGCCCTTAGGGAGAGACAGGGTTGTGATTTGTGTCTCCACTCTGTGGTTGAGGACGATGAAGCTCAGAGATGTTTATTGACATGACCCAAGTCACATAGTTTCTAAAATAAATAAGGAAGACTAAGAGTGAAGCCCTCCAGCTCCTAGGCCAGTTTTCTCATCCTTAGCAAAGTTTAGGGCCCTTAGGGACAGATCATTCCAGAACCTTCACCCAGGGTGTCTGATGAATATGCCGATTCCCGAATCAGGGTCTCTGGGAGTGGAGTCTAGGAACGGAAGAACAGGAAGGTTAAGTCACTTAGCCAAGGCCTTGAATATGTCAACCGAGGCACCAAGATGTAAGTCACGTCTCTGCTACATGGTGGCAACGACTGAGGAATCACAAATGTGATGGGTGCCACAAAGGAGATGAGGGTCCTACAGGAAGGTGTAGCCACGTTGACTCACATTGAAAAGTCAAGCAAGCAAAGCCTTTTGCCCCCATCTCACCCCTTTCGGCTGTAATTCGAGCATTTGCAGCTGTGTCCTGAATCCAGGGCTTGGCTGATTCTTCAAAGACCTAAAAATAGAGGCTCCTGTTCCCCACCAAGCAATTCCAGATGCCATCTCCCTCTCCCTGCTTCTTGCAGACAGCCATGAGATCTCCCTTCCTCAAATAAAACCACGATGAAATCCCAGGAAAAGCCACCGCTCATTTCTCCGAATGACTTTCCCGCAGACAGTGGAAGTGCTTTGCTCTCCCCAGAAGCACATAAGAACCGCAAATTAATTACACAGCATAATTAGCTCTGTCTCAAAATCTGGGCAGTGGGCATTTGGAAGCAAGAAGAGTAATAATAGGCTCTGGATGACTACCTTAGTAATGAGAGTTTGCTGAAGAAAAACGAAATTATTCCAGAGGAAGGCTCTGTGATAATGAGCTGCATGTAGCATTTTCTAGTGTGAGGTTAACATTTACTCATGATATGCAATGTGATTTTAAGAATGCACCAATAATTCTTTTTATTTTAATAGTGAAGTATTGATTTTTATTTGCATTACAAAAATATATATATATATATATACTGATTCATCAAACCCATGAGATAACAGACATTCTTAGGATGAGGCAGCGTGTATCAGCTGCCTATTGCTGTGTAACAAATTACCCCCCAAAATTAGCAACGAACATTTATTATGTCACAGTTCCTGTGGGTCAGGAATTCAGGAGTTAATGTTGGGCAGTTCTGGCTCAAGATCTGTCATGCGGTTGTAATCAAGATGTTAGCCAGAGCTGCCATCATCTGAAGGCTCGACCGTGGCTGGCAAATCCCATTCCAACGTGGCTCACATCTGTGGCTGACAAGTCAATGCCAATTATTCACATGAGACACAGAGAGAAGTGATCATGTCCAGTCACACTGCTAGTAAGTAGCAGAGTTAAGATTCTATCTGATTTGAAATCTTAAAATAACTTTATCAAACCAAGAGCATGTTTGGTAAGTTCAGTGACCCATGGGAAGAGGTCATTGTAAAATCTCACTGTAGAAGAGTTCTTACTGTTTTAATGGGCTTGAGAAGTGTGTTTTCCCTCTGACATTAGTAAAGCAGAAAGGCCACCTCCCCATCTGAGGATGACGTCTTTGTTTTAAAGAGGTGTCAAGGAATGACTCCTGCTCAGATCTGCCCGAGATCCAGAACGGCTGGAAAACCACGTCACATACGGAGCTTGTGAGGGGAGCCAGAATCACCTACCAGTGTGACCCCGGCTATGACATCGTGGGGAGCGACACCCTCACCTGCCAGTGGGACCTCAGCTGGAGCAGTGACCCCCCATTTTGTGAGAAAAGTAAGCATAGTCCTGTCTTCTTCCTCTCAATCAGTAAATGATGAATCTCTCCCATGGGTTTTTGCTGTGTGTTTTTTGCATGGATGCAGTGGAATTATTTAATGTAGAATCTGGCCTCCCTTCTACTCCACCAGCTCATTGGTGCTGCTCACAAATGTCGTTTTGTAGCCTTAGGGCAGGGATCTCAGACTCAGGTGACTTCAGAAGCCTGGCAGGTAACGTAACTGAGTGAAATAGACTCATATCAGACAATAGGGAGCGGTATGGACTGTGGTGAAGGGGCGTGTACGTAGCTTGTGTAAAAACATCATTCAAATTCAGGTCTTTAAAATTCCTGTAGTAACCAAGTAAAACCAACTAAGCTGGACCCGACATACTCTCCAGCCACCCTTAATGAACCCGAGATGCATTATCTTCCAAAGAAGCAAAGAGCTAAGTCAGGAACCTTCCTAGACCCTTCTGTGATTCATCTGTGGTCATCAAGGGCCCTAAGGTGCACATGGTCTGATCTCATCTCGTAGTCATGTACTGCACGGACCCCGGAGAGGTGGAGCACTCAACCCGCTTGATTTCGGACCCTGTGCTGCTGGTGGGCACCACCATCCAGTACACCTGTGAGCCCGGCTTCGTGCTGGAGGGGAGCTCGCTCCTGACCTGCTACAGCCGGGAGACCGGCACGCCCATCTGGACATCCCGCCTGCCCCACTGTGTCTGTAAGTCTGTCTGCTGACTCCGTGCTTATTAGACGTTGCTTTCTCTTAGTCGTGGAAGAAGACTGGGCTGCCGGGGGGAGGCACTCCACCCTTCAGGAGGGTTTTTTATTATTACTATCACTGGACAGTAGCTAATGCGTTGAAAGCAGGGATACGGCAACATTTAAGGTGAATGTACCCGGCGCTGCACGAGGTCCTTTAGAAACGCCCTCTCTTCTTCCCCCAGTAGCCTTGTCTCCATTTTTAGGAGGTTCAGAGAGGTGAGCTCATTGCCGCAGGTCACACAGCTCGTTAATAGTGGAGGCCAGAGGCAAACCCAGACGGTCTAGGGCACTAAATGGGATAGATTTTTTTTTTAATGTTTTTATTGATTCTTATTTCAGAGAGAGGGAGGGAGAGGGAGGGAGAGATAGAAACATCAATGATGGGAGAGTCACTGATGGGCTGCCTCCTGCACGCCCCCTGCTGGGGGTCGAGCCCGAAACCCCAGCATGTGCCCTGACCGGGAATCGAACCGTGACCTCCTGGTTCAAAGGTCAATGCTCAACCACTGAGCCACACAGGCCGGACTAAATGGGGTAGATTTTAAACTCTGTTTGACCTTGTCTATGTGGAGCCACCAAAACAAATGTTGGGTTAAAAAAAGAAAAGAAAAAAACCTTTACCGTAAAAATGGGAAAAGGGCTTCCAAGGTCACTCTGAGAAGGGAGAGGTTGCTACTCTCACCAGGCAGAGGAGATGGAGAGCAGGGGTCCAAGTGGCTTGACCGTACCTGGGAATCACCTGGGATGTTTTAAAGCATCACCCAGATATAACTGGTCTGGGGCGCAGCCCAAGCAATGGAGATTTTTATAGCGCCCCGGGGATGCGATGCGCAGCCGGGAATCAGAGTCATTGCTTAAAGAAAGCAGCTGGCCCTGCGGGAGGCGCCACACCACACACCCTACCTGGAGTTTAGAAACTGTCACCGGTGCTAATACGGTACATCAGTGGGTTATAAACAGCTTCATTAAAGGCATGGCCAGCTTGGGCACCAGAAGCTGCAGGTAGGGCCACATCAAAATTTAAAGTTTCTGCCTAGAAAAGGGGGGTTTATTGTTCTTTTTTTCACACATAACGAGGAATCTTAGGCCACACGGCCCTCTGTTCCCGTCTGCCTCTTCTGTCAGAGTTCTAGAATTTCAGAGCTCAGGGGCGTCTGGGAAATAAAATACAACTGAGGAGTGACTTAGCGATAAGACACAACTGCTCTGTTTCTCAGATAATAACCATAGTTGTTACTCATCGATTGTGTGGGGCATTTTGCTAAACACATTATATGTATTTGTGAAAGTGTAAAATACATTGCCAAACAGATTGTGTAGATACATAAATATCTATGACTATGTATGTGTATGCACACATCATTTATATGTTTGTGTGTGTGTATAACTCTGTGTGTGTGTGTATGTGTGTGTCTATGTTAAGAAATTGCAACTCGAAAGCAACTATGATTAAGGTCATAGCACTCCTTTGTGGGCAGAAGTAAGATTCACATTTAGGACCCTGGTCTTCACGCTCAGTGCCCTTTCCGCCAGCCTTGCCTCCACCATCCTTTCACCCTGGTGGCAGGGACGTCCCACTGGAATTGGAGCCCGCCGCCCTAACCCTGTAACCACAGCCACATCCCCTCCTCAGTCCCAGACCTTTGCGCCATGGTCACCCTGGCCGGCTCCTGTTACAGGTTGGATTGTGCTCCTGGGTATAGATGTTGAAGTCCTAACCCCCCAGGGCCCGTACCTGTGACCTTTGTTGAAAAGAGAGTCTTCGAAGATGTCATCAAGATAAGATGAGGTCCCACTGGGTGAGGTCGGGTGCCAATCCAATGACTGGTGTCCTTATAAGAAGAGGGAAATGTGGACAAAGGAACAGCCCCGATCTGATGGGCACCTTCTCCTGGCTGTGCCCGTGCCCAATATGAACACGTTTAAACCTCACAGAACTGCATGAATGCTACGTGTGTCCAGTTCAAAGCACATAAAGGAGGCCCAGAGAAGGTGAGGAGCTATCCTGAGGTCACACAGCAGGGAAAGGGAGATCCTAGGATTCCCATTCAAGCCTGAAGAACCCCAAGAGCATTATCACCCCCCTGATCCCTGCAGTCCCAGCTTCTGGGTGGGGCTCCGGTGCTTTATTGTTACCAAAGATCTTCCACCAAGAAGCAGATGGTACAGAGAGCTAATTGCGTAAGCTCTGCCCATCCACAGCTTCCGTTCAGGGTCACTGGAAGTCAAAGCTATGTCCTTTCACTCCCAGTCCGTTCACCCCAAGCCACTTCTAGAACAGACAGGTCAGGTATCGGTAGGGGAAAGAGTCTGGAGTTCACAGTCAGACACACTCCCAGCCCTGCTGGGTGACCTTGGGCAAGTAGCTTGGCCTCTCTGGGCCTCAGAGCTCTCATCTGAGGACTGAAAAGGAAATAATACTCCCTACCGGGCAGGATTGTTGGAAGCAACTCATTTGGTCATTCGATCAGCTCCCCCTATAGGCAGGCTCATGCTAGGAGAAACGTTCCCAAACTTTCTCAGCTCAGGATACCCTTGGTGTCTCAGGAACTTTTTCCTCCATTTCCTAAGCCAAAATGCCTAATAATTCTACTTATAAGGTAGTTTGGTCCAAACACCTTAATAAGTAGCTATATCCAGATAACTTAGTAGCCATTTGAGAAAGTAATGCACATAAGTTGAAAGAAATAATTCTGTTTTTATTTCATTCTTAAATAACTAGAGTTACTACTACAGGAATACGTGTGCCTGTGGGGCTCCACTGAACTTCTCAAACCTTGGCATCGGGCTGGACTCTGCCACCTTCATTTCTTGTTCCATGTGGATTTGCCACAGTTCCTGCCTTTAGCACAGTGACCACAGAACACCCAGCCTCGCAAAGATCAGGCGTCAGTAAAGGGAATATGGCTCCATCTCACGTTGAATCTGGCACCTCCCTGGAGCTAGTCACTCCCACAGGTCTGAGAGATGTCACTGGTGCCTCCTCAAAGTTTTACAAAATCTCACAGCACCACTGTGAGTTCATGGTGGCACCCCAGGGCACCTTGGTGCACAGTTTGGGAACCGTAGCGGTTGGCCCTGAAAATACAGCAATGCGTAAACAGACACGATCCATGTTCTGACGGAGCCTGGGGTCTATTGGAGATGAGGGGAGGAAAAACAAATCTGTGAAGAAAATAACAAAGGATTACACACCACCTCCTCCAGGAAGGCCTCCCTGACTGCTCAACTAGGTCGTGTCTCTCTCCTCTGAGTTCCCGTGGCACCTACAGTTACAGCTATCACAGCACTTGCCATAGCTTATTGATGCAATCGGTTTATATATTCAGAGAAGCAAACACATACCTCACTTGCTAGGATTGTATCCAATTAATCCTAGTATCCCTCGGGCCCAGCAGGCTCAACAGTATTTGTTACTATTACTGCCGTTGTTGTTGTTAGCGATTCTAATGTGGCCTTTATTACACCCTGTGGCTTTCTTGGAACTCCCCTTCCTCGGCAGTGGCCTGGTAAATGAACCCTTAGGCTTCCATGCAGAAGACAGAAACCAAGAGTAGTGAGGATGTGACGAATTCAGTGAGGGTTCTGTGGGTGGCCCCCCAGGGAAGCATTTGGGGATTCCCCAGGAGGCCCTGGCAGAACCCATGTGGCCAGACTGTGACCTCAGTAAAAGCTCCCATTGGTGAGCTGTCCCCAGGGTCCTCACCGTGGCCAGCATGCCAGGCTCTAGCTGGGTGTGCAGACTCATTTAGAAACTCCTGTCTCTGAGAAAGCAGCGGCTCAGAGGAACCCGTGAGAGCTCGGGGGATCTGAGCCCAAGCAGGGCCCTTTGTTTTAGCAAAACCGTTCAATGCACAGGATTTGAAATCTCAACTTTGAGCATTTTGCTCAAATGGGCTCCAAAAATATACTTTTTTTTTCTTATAGTTAAAGAGAGGAGGACGAATGAGAAAATAGAAACGAGGGTAGGTTGTGATCATGTCTACAAGACCATCAGTCTCACTCGCTTGAATTCCTGGGAGACAACGGGATGGGGGGGTAGGGTCACAGGAATTGTTTAAGCCCTGGGCCGGTGTCTCTCAGCCAGGGGTGACGGTTAACACACACACAAAAGTATTTTTTTGTACAGGACTCACTCATCTGTGAGTTTGTGAAAGGAAATTCTGGAAAGGTCGTGGGGAAATTTTTCTGAGTTACCATTGCCACCTGCTGCCACTGTGCTACATTGCAGGCCATGCACACACTCGCCTTAGGGATCCCTCCCCTCCCCTCCGCCCAGGAACCAGACCAGCGTCTCATCCCAGCCCTCGCCCCCA